CTAAAGATATCTTCGAATATAAAGAAAACAATAAACAGCTTATCTAACGAATTATTTGCAGCTTTAATTTCTGGTATTTTTGAGGTGATTTTAGCTAGTACTTCTCGGAGGGAAATACCCTCAAACATTTTACCTAACTCCCTGCGGTGTTTAATGATTTCAAGAAATGCACTGAAGCTAGAGTCATCAGTCTTGCTTATATTAGAATCATTAGTGCTTGTGGCATGGCTAGAGCTTACATTACTAGTATGCAGGTTTTTAACAACATCAGAATAGGCTTTATTTTTAACTACCTGAGTATTTTTCTTAACATGATTGCCACTGGAGTTAAGGTTTACATAATCATTAGTTTGAACATTTTCAGAAGGCTTATTGTTTACATAGGGTGTAGGAAATTTAGGACACCCGCCAATAATTCGCACTGTGTCCTGTCTGATTGCAGTTATAGCAACGAACAACTTCTAATCTTTTTTTGGAACAATCAACTGTTTTATGATGACCAGCGCATTTAACACGCCTGGGCTTAAGCTTGCAGGTATCCGAAGAGTGATGGAAGTGTTGGCAATTATGACACTGCATAAAACTTCCATTTACATTGTATTTTTAACCGAGACATAAAAATCTAAAAATTTGGCAATATCATAAAATTTTTCCACCCCAGGGAAGTTCTCCACCTGAACTTAGAATAAGGACAGGGGGGCCCCCGTTTTGATGCGATGCATACGAGCAACTCGTCTCACTTTAAATCCTAATATGATTAACTCGTCAGAAATTTCTTCAATTGGGCAGTCAGTGGGCAAGCCACGAAAGACAACTTTAACTGGTCTGTCTAGTTTCGTTAGTATCACATAGTGATCAACGTTCTTCAAGTCTAAATAATTAGTAATAATTCTGTGGTCATCTTCGAACTGGGAAAGATCTAAAGGAAGTTCCCATTGACCTGACCCGCAAATTCACATTTAGCTTCACTTTTTAAAATTTTCATAAAATCGCCGAATTTGATATCCGGTTTAACCATTATTGGTCTGGGTTTTGGCTTAGCCACATTAAGAGCTGTATCAGAATTTAATTAGTATCCATGTTATCATTTATGATTTGCACATCATTATCAGAACTATTTACAGATAACTGTTCAAATTTATTCTTAAGAGAAATTTCAGCATTGTATACTTCATAATTTTACTGGGTCTAGTAGTATTTTTAGGAAGGATATATCTTTCATTATCCTGAGTCTCATTTTTAAACACACGTTTAGAAATTTTTTAGAAGGCCGACGGGGTTTAGGTTTACTGTTTTCATTCTAATTAGAGATATCAACATTCTTATTAAAGGTATTAGTATCTACATTATTAACATTTGACACATTACAGATAGTATTTACTTTATCATTACAGATAGTAACACATGGAATTTTACTCATATGTTTTAAAACAAGTATTTCTTCAAAGGTTAAATTTGCATAAGAAGGATTCAGAGCGCAATATGAATCGCACGTACCTTGATAAATGCTGTAGATTCCTTCATTAAAAGCTTTGATTTTTTCATAGTCCGTACGCAGTTTCTTGATCACATCCTCGTCTTTAAGAAGTTGGGTATAGGTCGCTAGAGAATCAGCATCGCGTTTAATATTCCCTTGAATTCCGTTCATAAGTATCAGCCATTCAGAAAGTCCGTAACCGAGTAAGTATACTTAACAATGAGGTCTTACCAATAATTGCGCCGAAAGTGAACTAAGTTGTAAATCCGCTTTGGTCATCTCTTCTATACAATCCCAAGAGCAAGCATTACTTTTTTTTGAGGTGACTGCAGCTTTTTACACTTTTCAACAAACTCCATAAGTTTGCAAATAAGTTTCTTAAGATTTTCGTCCAACACAAAATAGCATCAGAGTAGGATTTTACACTTGGAGGTTTTCTTCCAAGTTCTCGCTTCTCATTCGACAACGGCTTGCTTGAAACAGCATCAGGGATTCTCTGATTAGTCGATTGATATCGCTTCTTCGGAGGTTCCACATTTCGATATTTTAGTCGAAATTCACAGATGTTTACCGACGCTACATGTTCCAGTTTACAGTTGGCACAAGTAGGTTTCGCTTCATTCTGAAGTTTACATGTGTAAATAAGATGACATAGACCACATTTCAAACATCTAGGGAGATTGTTGCAGAACAATTGCCCGTGACCATATCTTTGACACCGGTAACACATCATGGTGTTCCTGTTACTTTTAAACTTTCTAAAAGTCACTTTGAGATCCAGTAGCTTCTTCTTTCGGTAAATGCTCCTTCCAGCATCATTTCTTTGAGAGACATAGAAAACGAGAAGCTTCACTTCTGAACCGTTAATTTTTCGTGTGAATTGTGTAACTTTGTTCATAGGAAAACCATCATTGCAAAGCTCTTTCTTGATTTCTTCAGTAGAAGAGTCTTGCGTGAGACCTCTGATAACAACTTTTAAAGGAGAATCCTTCTTGTCTCTAAAAGTGCTAAACTGAATTTCCTTCTTAATCAACTGAATTTTCTTCTTAATCAGGATAGCAAGCGCTCTGTCACGTTGATCGGCAGAATCAAACAGAATTGCTATTTCTGTAAATGATCAAAACATTGTATGACAAAAAATTTGGATGTACAAGGACAAAAAACGAAGCAATTATTTGTAACGTTTTTTCACTATATTCGTTTTCACAATTGCAGAAAGAATTGGATAAATGTACATTTATATCCATATATTATGATGATTCCAACCACAAAGATTAAAAATTATTTCCCACAATTGTTAGACTTTTTGATCCAGAAACAGGAAATAAAATTAGAATATTAGATTTTGTTTCATTGCCGGGTGAAACTTCATAAATAATTTTTGATTCAATAAGTACTATTTTAAAAAAGAGTAATTTGAGCAATAAAATTATTGCCTATTGTGAGGATAACACTAACGCAAATTTTGGTGGGAAAGCTAGAAGACGCATCAATATCGTTTTTACGAAACTTACCGAACATTTGAAATAAAAATTTATTGGAGTAGGTTGTGTAGCGCACATTCTACAGTACTAATCAAACAACATTTGACTTACTTCCAGTGGATATTGAAAATATTGTTGCAAAAAATTATTCGTATTATACTCGTATTTGTATTCGTATATATACTTTGCGTGTTGAAAGTTTGAAGGATTTTGTGAAAACACAGAAATCGACCATAAAAGAATTATTGATTACAACAAAACACGATGGCTAGCTCTTTTACCAGCTGTAGAAAATATTTAAAAATTATACGTACCATTAAAATCACACTTTCTATCACAAGATAAATGTCCCAAGAATATTGCAGCTCTTTTTTGAAAATGACACATCACAAATTTGGCGTCAGTTCATCCACAACCAAGCTACATTATTTCACAATGCTGTGAAAATTATTGACGGGGAAATTACGGAAGTGGCAAATGAAATCAATAATTTAAAAACAAAAAATTGCGAGAATTGATAACGATTACGTTCCTTTAGTTATTTGAAAGGACATCACTAGGTTAGAAGAACGAGGTGCTATGAAATGAACTTATTTTCTGAAAGAGAAATTTTTATAATAACTGCTTCGAATGTCTTGAAGAACGGATAGTTCAATTCGAGGATATTAAAAATTTTCTTTGGGTGACATTAAAAAAAGGAGATTTTTATGGGCATATGTGGAAAAATCTTTTTAATATATTAGTAACCATTTTCCGAAAAATAATATTTGCGAAAATGATCTTTTTGATGAGGTGCCATTGGTAACAAGCTACGATACTGAAGAAAAAATTAAATATTGGTTGTCTGAAAATGTGGACACAGACAAAAAGTGCACGGAATTATTCCTTCATTTTAAACAGAATAATATTCCTTATGAAAATATTTTGAAAATTGTAGAACACGCGCTTTCCCTTCCAGGATAAAATGCAGAAACAGAATGTGTTTTTTCTAGTATCGATAAAATATGGACAGTTGAAAAAACGCAGTTGAACATTAAAACTTTAAAATCTGTATTAAGCGTAAAATATAATTTGACCAATTCATATGAGAAATTTCACATTCTAATAAATGATCCGAATCTATGCAAAGTATTCACTCGGATAAAAAAATATGACCGTGAAAGAAAATCATAATTTTTTAATAAAATTTTAAATTAATTAAAATCATATAATATTAAAATTATAGTTTTTACAAATATTTTTATAGTTACCAATAGTTAATAATAAATATACTTTTGTATATTTATAGACAAGTAAATGAATGTATAGAATAAAATATATTATTTTGAATTATTGGTTTGCTTTCATAACTACATTACAATTCTCATTTCATTCGGTTTGTCCCGCTTTGTCTCAATGCGAATGTGGTCACTTTAGGTTAGCAGCAATGCGTAAGCCTATTTTGCATCTTTGATTTCAGCATCTGTTTCATCCGCTTCAACGTCTAAATATTTATCAAGTTGTTTGGCCGCAAACACTGCTTCAACACGCAAACAGAGAAAAGTTTTTACCGTTACAGGGCTCAACACAATACTTTGTGTTCTCATCACCCGCTGCCATTTCAAATTTCACTTAACGCGCGATTCTGTTCCAAACAAGTAAGTTCCACAAAACAAACATAAATGCTTCGCCTCTAGCGTGTTCAATATCAGAACCACACTCTGCTGCAATGATTTAAAAAGGTGAATCAGAGGCCGATGATAATTAAGTAGAGGTTTTATTAAATGATGGAATTAATTACGCACATGGAACAGCACATTTCTACATATCACACCAAAACAAAACTACTACGACTGTTGCCAATACAACCTAAGCAAAATATAAACAGTTACGGTTAATATACATATAACATCAAATCATAAACCAGAGAGTAAGTGTGATTATTCTCAACAATAACTTGCAAATCATTTATTTACATTTTACTTATTTATTAATATGATAACCTATTTCTTGTATCAAAGCTGCGTATATAAATCATAGTGATAATTTTGCAATTTCAGGTGAAGAAAATATACCTATGACAGACAGGAATGAACATGTCCATCATGAAGGCTTTCCCTTGCCAGAATTTGTCATTTTGTGTGGATTTTTTGCTGCTTATATGATTGAGGAAATCATATGCTTTGTTATGTTTCGTTTTCTTAAAAATGATGAAGCTGAAAATACCAAAATGAGATTCTGCAGCTGCGCCAAAAGACATACAGAATGCAGCCGGACATTTAAAGTCCTAAAGCCAGATCAAACGTTATTTGGATTGGAGAAGAAGAAACTTTTACCACCTGAAGCAGCTTCAGTAGCTTCAGGCGGAGGAGAGTGTTCAGGGTTTAATAGGTATTTAATACCCTTCATCTATCTTTCCAGTAACATATGTCATTTGAAAGTAAAGCAAAAGTCTTTGCGACTTATATCCTTAAAAATTGTTTAAATGTTCTCAAGAGAATGATTGTTTTCATAACATAATAGGCAATGGCAAATGAAATTTTAAAACAATATTTTTCTTACTTGCAAATTATTTCATAATATTGCATAAGAATCACGTTATATGTACATCATTCATCTTCAATTAAATTTTAATTAAAAAAATTAATAAGAACTTTCAGTTATTATATGCTTGCTTTTAGAATACTTAAATATCTTTAATTCATTAAAATAATAATACAGTGTTTCTATGTAGGTCTATGGATAATGCAAAAGGTCTTATACGATCGTCAATAATCGCTCAACCCGTACCTAATTATGGAGCTGTATCCAATTTGCTCGAAGAAAGGAGAAATGAAGCGCCTCCTATTATAGTAGAAGGTGAAGGGGTACTTTCTATTGTTCAAGACACAACAGCTACAGTGCATCAAGTATTACCCACAAATAATTTATTTATATTTCTTTCTCTGTCATTTTTTTCCCTTTATCAGGGTATGATTACTGGACTTAAAACATCACCATCCTGGACAATGTTGTCGCTCGTATGTCTTCAGCAATTCCTAATTACTTTTGTTGTAGGGACAGATATTATAACATACAGTGACAAACTGCTGCAGGTTATAATTTATGTAAGCGTGTTTTCTATTATGTCGCCGTCAGGAATCTCATTATCGATGTTTGCTAGAAACACTGTACTAGAGATACCAGTTTTAGTTGGTGCACTAATAATTGGACTGACATGTGGAATTTTGTTGTATGTTACATTCTTTGAGATCTTACACCGTAGAACTATTCTTGGAGTACATGGTGTACCAAAATTTTTTGCAGTGACATTTGGGTCAGGTATTATGGCAGCCTTACAATATGCTTCTACAAATTATTGATGAGCTGGAGAGTTTACGAAGGACTGACTGCCATCCATCAAAAATGAGAGCTCTCTGGATATATGGATTAACTTTTAATACATTTATGTTCCAGGTTCTCTCCATTGAGAAACGCACACATAGTTGTACAAATAAATGAGCAGAACTTAAGATGTAAACCAGGTAAATTATGTTGATAGATGAGAATTCATCCTTTAATTGGCATTGATTTTATACAAAATCTTTACGCATTTTTAAATTTTAAAGAGGTTTTATGAAAAATCATTGTCAACTGAAGGCTGAAATTTGATTTTACGAGTAGAATGCTCTCTTAGTTTCACAGGAGATTCTTATAAGGAGGTTACTGAAAATATGAAATTGCTAATAACCTAAGTATACAAATTAGTTCTATGGAGACATGTTTAAAAAAATTGTAAATTTAACTAGCACAAAAAGACTTTGCAAATCAATGATTATACACTTTCTGTAAAACGACATTTATATAGTTTTATAATACATACATGTATATATATATATATTATAATATAGAATCTTTCACTTCTTTTGGATCTTTATGGAAATGGTTCTAAATTTTTTACTTTTTGTCTATATATATGGGCCTGTAAAATTCCTAAAATAATTTTAATTTGGAAGATATCATTTATTTAATTCCTTGGATTGCAGTCTAAAAGTATATCAATGGATTGAATTTTTTACTTAAGTAAATGAAAATACTCACTTTTACTGAGTAACTTTTAACATCCTTTTTTAAACTTACATAATTATCCATATTTAGTACAAATGCCAACTCCTACCAGTTTGCTTAAAAGACTAGCAAAGGAAGAATATATGCATTGGCTCTCAGAAAGTTCCTTTATTTTTATTACAGATAAAATATGTAAATTAACGAGGTAAATATGCAACACAGATATTTGTGGTAATAATATATTTACCAATTTCTATCACTTTCTTTAATGCAAAATGATCTATATGTATTTAAAATGTGTCATGAAATATGTAAATATGCAAAGAATACATTAAATAATATTTATCTATTTTTTATGTTTGTTAATGTCAGTCAATCAAAGGAAAAAAAAGTAACAAGAGCTTTTAAAGTATATATAAATTTATTTACAGTTTTTATTTGTTACTTTTTACATATCGTTTTCAACATTAAATTAAATTTTCAAATAAATGCACATGCATATTTAATGAAAAAATTTTAGCATAAACCATTGCATGAATATATAATTTTTTCCCCCTTCAAAAGCACTTTTAGAAGATCCAAAACAATGCTTCTATTGAAAATTCTCAATTATGAGATAGAAAGTTCTATAATTTGAGTACAAAGGCATTATTAAAATCAACACTGAAGTAAATGCCCTGTTGATCAATTACTACAAAGATCCCATATTGATTTTATAGAGTTCAGTTTATAGAAATTTTGAGAGAACTATTGAGAATCTATAAAAAAATAATATATGCATTGTTTTCAAATAACACTATGTTTAATCAAATATATGTTATAGCTCCATAACTTAAAATTATAAATATATTGAGATATTCATTTACATTATACAAAATTTTACGCTAAGCAAAATCGAAATTTCTCAAATGGTAATATATATAATAACTTTATCTACAAAATGGACAATAATATCTAATAAATATATCATCTTTTCATATATTCTTCATAGGGCCTACCAGCGGCCGAGCGGTAAAGTCGCTGAACACTGGTAGTTCAGTCCGAGGTTCAAATCCCGCGAACGGGCTGGCTGCATGGGTGTTTTCGTGGTTTTCCCCATGTGTAACGTGTATACGAGCCAGTTTCCCTTAGTCCTCCACGAAGGCATCCCCTCCTCTTAGGCAGATAGCCCTTGAGGCTTTGCCATAATCAAAAACACACACCATATATTCTACAGAACCCTGTACTGTACCAGACTGATCTGGTCTTTAAAACAAATTTTGGAATAAAATTGTACTAGGAATTTTCAGTTGCTTCATATCACCTTTGTTATAGTTTTATTCAATCAAACTGTTAAAACATTTGTTTCATAAATAGACTGGCATCCACTCTACAAAGCAAAACTGGGTCTCAAGTTACTATAAAACTTACAATTATATTGTTACACAAAATTATTATTATTTTTTTTTTTTCCAAATGGGGGACAAACCAAAGAATTTGTAGGGAGATTCTTTGGATAAACACCGATCATTACAATGCAATTAACGCAATATATTTCTATGAAAAGAGATAGTCTATTTGCTATTGAAACATAAAAGTTTATATCAAAATTTACATGTACTTTCTTAAAAAAGGCCTTTCCTCTAACTTTGAAAATTTAACTTCATACATTCCTTCAGAGAAGAAAGAGAAAGGTTCTTAGCTAGACTAAATACAAAATGTAAAACGGACGCATAATTTGATATAAAAATGCAAAATTAACACTTCATTTTCATCTTTAAAGAATAAATTATTAAACATACACATTTACTGTTTTACTTCAAGCCAAAAATCACAAAAGGTAATAGGAATACTGTACAATGTGAGTTATGTTACAAGACACACCAATAATGTAAGGAGAAAATCAAATGTAGGAATAAAGATTAAAATCAAATGCATATTAAGGTACTTAAATTGTGCCATTTAGCTTCACACATTTACTGCTTATACTGAATATATCCATTTTCCTTCTTCTGTAGATTAGTTTGCAAGAATCATTAGTCATTTATTTGTTTGCATTAAATTTCATTTAAATTTATTAACTTTAATTTGCTCTTTACGAATAGAGAATGTTTGTTAAATAGAGTATATATATATAATATATATATATATTTTATCAAGCAAAGCAGTAATAACAATTTGTGAAAAACCAATTTTGGTCAAGAAAACATCTTGCCCGCAATATGCTGCCAAAATAAGTAAAATAATAAAAAATTGTAGAAAGCTCGCCTAAAAGTTACCAAGAGCTGCTGCTCCAAAAGGTTTAAAACGTTTTTTCAAAAATTAATACACATGAAAAGCAAATCATTAGAACATGTAAAACATAAATAAAATTAAAAAACTGAAAAAGTTAAAAAGTAAGCGGAAAATGGTAAATTAGCCAAATTCGACTTCCAAACAGGCTTTTCAAGGGAAATTCATTTATTTGAACGTCGAATCAAGCTAACCCCATTACGCGTTTCGCCCGAAACAGACAATTGAAACTTTTTCGCTAAAAATTTTTTTGACAAGTGTCTTGGAAATTTTAATAGTCTCAATTCTCTGTTTAAATTTCCAAGACCTTTGTCAAAAATTTTTTAGCGAAAAAGTTTCAATTGTCTGTTTCGGCGAAACGCGTAATGGGTTAGCTTGATTCGACGTTCAAATAAATGAAATTTTCCTTGAAGCCTGTTTGGAAGTCGAATTTGGCTAATTTACCATTTTCCGCTTACTTTTTAACTTTTCAGTTTTTTTTTTTATTTATGTTTTACATGTCTAATGATTTGCTTTTCATGTGTATTAATTTTGAAAACGTTTTAAACCTTTTGGAGCAGCAGCTCTTGGTAACTTTTAGGTGAGCTTTCTACAATTATATATATATATATATATATATATATATCACATAAAATTATATGCAGTGATAATTTTCCATGTAGGTTTGCAAAATGAAACTTCAATTTTTTGAATCAAAACTTTTATATTAAACAGAAATTTCTTATTCACCATAATTTCATACTTAAGCAATTTAAATACACTGAAAACCAAATATAAAAGAGAGATTTTTATACTATCAATACTTTTTGCTTTGCAATAATGTAGTGACAATTTATAAGACACTTATATATTTCTGGAAATCCTTTATATAGATATTTAATACAAATTTCATTTTCAACTAAAATACATTGAATTAAATGTACTCGTTTACTCAAAAAATATTTAGCCGTTGAATAAAATTAATGTGGAATCAGAAATATGAACTAATGTCATATTTGTGAAAACACTGAATTTAATTAAATTACATTGAAATCCAGCAAATAATTAAAAATTATTAAAATCGTGATCTTGTGAGTATTTGCAAAACGGATTACAACCAATGCTAGATTGTGAACCGTTTCTGAATTTGACATCAATAAAAACAAGATAATGCAGTGATAGCTGCTATGCTTATCGAAATATGATACGAGGCAAAGATGTTTCGCCACATAATATACCAATTAAGAAGCCAAAATCATCAAGATACATCAGCAGTTTTTTTTTTTTTTTTTTCCCTGAGGGAAAAAGTTTAACTTCATATCTGATAAAATGCATCCAGAATGTTACTAAATTTTAAAATATGTTTTAAAGATAATACTGATGATATGCATTTCTTTTAAAATTTTATGTTTGTGTGTATTACAGTCAAAAGTCTTTAATCCGGACTCGTCAGGACTTCGGCGAATCCGGATTATCGGTTTTTCCAGATTATAGATCATCAGTTTAAATCTGGTAAGATGGCATGCATAAATTATACAATTAAAAATATGAAACCGTAATTTATAAAATAAAGAGCAATTATAAATCTAAAGGGTATCAAAATTTACAAAAAGCAAGCATAATATTTATTTGTTTACTTTATTAAACATTTCTTTTAACGCGGGCATGCGTAAAGCATACATTACGCATAGTCAAAATTAGAAAATTGCAACCAGAAAACTATTTGATGTGTATTCGTGATATTTATAATGATGAGGAATTTGATTTAAATCATATCAAAGACAAAGTACATCGAGATGAAATACTATATTTAGTGAGGAATTATATGCCGAATAAAATAAAAACATCTGCCCTGAAGATAAGGATAGTTCACTGCACGCGGCGATCCAGTTCACTGCGTGCCGCGTCCCCCCCCCCGAAGAGCTGCGTGAAATTCATAAACATATTTCGGAACGGTTAAAGAATGAAAGGATATGCCTTTATCCATTTTTTGCAGCAATTCCACTTTTTGTTTGATGGACATCGAAACATGCTTTCGTTTTGTAGATCCTTTGGTAGCTCCAGAATCGGAAATTCTTTTTGACATAATCGAAAGTTCAAGCTTACTTTTATAAAATTGCTCTAACAGTCTGCAAAAAATAATAAGCCGGATCCAATTAGAAGATTAAGGAACAACGCAATCTGCAACATTTAACTGAAATGGATAATTAGATAATTTTAGCCTAGCTTATACCGTCCGTTATACATAAAAGCACATGCGTAAACGTATTATGCGCATGCGTAGACATATATGCACATGTGTGAACGCATTATGCATTGACGCATGTGCAGAAAGTTTGTAGCTTTGAGGTTATAGATCATTCTGGATTATGGACGTCCGGATTAAAGACTTGACTGTATATGAATTACTTTACATCAAGTTATTTGAAAGGGGTGTTAAAAGAAAATCCTATATTACATTTATTGATTCAATGAAATGTTCTGTTAATCTTAATGAAATGAAGAATTATAAACATAATAATTTTTCTACTCATAATACATGTAGAGAAAGTAAATGCTCTTTTTTAGTGTGAATCTGAATGAAAAAATTAAACATTTGCTTATACAACAGTATCTGTAGGATATGTTTTATTAGACCTTCTCCCCCCCCCAATATGAAGTTAACAACCTTGAAAATCTGAGCCCATCTGCAATAGAATAAATTTTTTCTATTATATGCTTTAATTAAACTGCCAATATCTGCAACAGTATCAATATTTAAAAAAATATAAATACTAGTAAAATTTACCTCAATGGCTCCCCCCTTACATCTTTCCAAAAGATGAATGGACATATCAAATGTATCATAACATATCAAATGTATCATGCCATACTGCTTTAAAAATCATTAATTTTTAATTTACTAATCTCCTAGTTTTAGTGCTGAAATTCTTTGTACAAACTTGATAAGAATGTGGTGTATAGATAATATTATTGCATCAACAACTCCATTTGCTTTTAGATTACATGTGAAAAAATTATCATTAACGTTTTCAAGAAATATTATTTCTTAACAATAAACTGTGATGGCTTTTATAATCTCATGACAACAATAATACTGTATC